AAAAAAAAAAAGTTTTGAAGGACACCTGTGTGGCTCAGGTGGTTAAGCATCTGCCTTCTGCTCAGGTCATGATCCCAGGGTCCTGGGATGGAGCCCCCTGTCTGACTCCCTGCTTAGCAGGGAGTCTGCTTCTCCCTCTCCCTTTACCCCTCCCTCTGCTCATGCTCTCTGTTTCTGTCTCTCTCCCTCTCAAATAAATGAAAAAATGCTTCAAAAAAATGTTTTGAAAACTAAGGGTGGGCCATTTTGTGAGGATGAGAAAACATCTGTAAAGGAGGAACAATATAATTAAGCATATGTTAAATCATTCCCTTTTCCCAGTGACGGGTACAAAAAGGGCCTTCTAGAGAGCCCCTGGAGAGAGAGATGACGAATCAGAGGAGGAGAATCAGTCTCAGGACTTTACTAATGGATGGGATCTCCCACCATTACAAGAATATATGGAGGCCTGCCCTCAAAAGGACTACAACTCAACTTCCAACCCAGGGTCTGTAACAACTATTACTTTCCTCCTTAAGCAGAATAAACATATTATACCTAAAAATAGACTAACTGCTGATTTTTAAAGAATATTTTTTAACTGACAGTTTACTAAATTTCAAAAACTCCCAGTTTCAGAGGTCCAAGACCTCTGACCTCTGTTCATTATATATTTACTTGTTATATTTATATTTATTTATGCTTAGAAAATTCCACATTTTGTTCCACTCAAAAAAACCCTGCAATGTCAAAAAAATTTTTTTTAAAAACATCAATGTATTTACAGTTTACACTAGGAAACTTGAAGAAATACAATAATATTAGATTTTTATTATTAAAATTTATGTTACACATTATAAGTTATAAAAACTCTACACTTATCATCTTATTGTCAAAAAGTGAGGGTCAAATTTGAAATGGCAAACTAGCCTGCCAGTTACCATACCTGTTTTGATTATTTTTTTAACCAAAAAGAGGATATTTTCTCTAATTTAAAACACATTTATTCATTGAAATGGATTAAACATATTAATGTTCATACTTAAATGACACAGACTGTGTTTTCTTACCATCCTCTAAAGTATTCTGTGTCACATGGTCAGACATCTGGCTGGCTCCCATTGGCATATATGCCACAATGTAGAAAGTATAATTGCTAGCAGGTTCTAAGTCATCAATAATATAATGAGTTGTGTCATTTCCGATGACAACTTGATACTCTTCATTATTTAAACCTAGATTAAAGAATCAGCGTTTAAAAATTAGGAGTATTCAAAATGAACAAGACCAATTTCCCTTACTGTGACACACTGATCCTCCTGCCTAATCTTTGTTATCTTTTGTGACCCTTTAAAAAAAAAAAAAAAAGAAATGTGACTTCTAAAAGTAACTACATCTTGCTACAAATTAGTAGTTTGAATTCTTCCCTAGTAAATCAAACTGAAAATAATTAATCTCTTCTAAATTTGTTTTAATATCCAGTCAAAACCCATAGCAGAGACAATGTACAGCAGTAACACAATAGAGCGTAATGTTATAGAACACCGTAGTTTGAAACAGTGTAAGTTTTACTTGCTTAAACGCATGGCTTCTTTTTCCTTTTAAAAGTAAATGGAGAGACAGTAGGGAACGTAAAGGCTCTAGGCTTTATGGGAATGTAAAGTCTCCAGGCTTTATAAAAACAAACCAAACCAAGTCGTCCTGCAAAAGATCTCATTTTGGCCCTAGAGATTCTATTAAATTTGACTGACACAAGTTGTTCTTTTTATTTATACTAGTAGGAAGCAAAAGAACTGGGAGGCACAGAATGTGCTTCAAAACACTTTGTTCCACAACGAACTTCCCCCCCCAAAGAGGAAAAAAAAAAATTTCTCAGCAATTCTTAATAAAATATGCATGGCAAGGTATAGAACAGAATTTGCCTTTGTGTGATTTAATTCCTACGGCGCGGATCTGTACAGGGGAATAAGCACACTGGCAGCTCCTGGGCTTTGCGAACAATTCACGGTAAATGCACGTCAACTTCATCAAAACGCTCTAAGGACCAAGGCCCTTCTCCCCCTCACTGGATTTATAAACAAAACAGAAGGCAAATTCCACCATTAAGTTTTCCCACATTTCTGAATTAACTTGATAGCATTTTAATTAGACAAGATTACAGCCATTTCACAACAGACTGGCTAATGGCTTGTTAATTAGGAACTGCATAGTACGATTTCTGACCTACCAAACAAGGTCCTTGAGTTCGAATTAAAAAGCCTTGTTCTGTCCTTGAATAGACCACTGAGCCGCATGTGGAGGCTCTAATGAAATGACCATAATAGTGAACAAGAGTGGTCTCCACCAAAACCAGCATTCCTTTTACCTTCCTAAATCACTAAGAAGGGAATTAACATACTCCAACATGCTCAGTTAGACTTTTCATTCTTCTTGCTAAAACCCCTGATTTAAATTCAAAATATTCCTTTTCAAAATACTACTTCAAAGTATAAAAAACAAACAACAACAAACCACCTGTTTATATGGACAATTTTATCATATCATCATTTTTGGGTGCTAGGATTTGTTTTAATGTCTATTGCATAAAATCTAGACTGTGCACAACTAAAATTTGTAAACTTCTGTGGTTTCTATGAGAGATCAGTAGAGAAATCTCTAGGATTTCTAAGTAGCTTTTCCTTTCCCTCGAATTTTTTTGCCAAAAGAAAATACTAGGGCAAAAAAGATTGCAAAAACAATGGAATTAATAGTTCTGAATAAAAATTTTAAGACAGATTTGATTTCTACTTTTATATAAGAAATGACGTATCAACAAAGAGAGTCCTGTTCAATATTCAGAGTTTTAAATGTTTTCAGGAAACATTCAAAACATATAAAATCAACTTATGGGGATCTGATAATGTTTACTCCCCCCCCTTAAAAATAACATGCTATAGTGACCATAATTCACCATATTATTTTATGAACCAATTACAACATTGTTCCTATGTAACTGTATACTTAAATTGGAACATCAAGTCTTAGCTAAAGAATTTATATCTTGGCTGGAATGAAATTCATTACTCCACCACTTTGTAATTTTTAGCAGGCAGAGATGGTACTTATTTCTAAACAAAATCTTAAACTATACTTATATATACAAAGTATACAATAATAAAAACATTTAGCAAAAACTGATATGCAGGTGATAGATTATTTTATTAAAAGAGATAAATGCCATAGAACTTCAAAAATATTTTCTGGTAAGACATCATTCATACTGAAATTATTGACAGCAAGTAGCAGTTGAAAATAAATACTCCTCAAATTGCTTACCTTCTGCTTTCATATAGTGCACAGAATAAGCAATGACTTTGTCTGAATTATAAAGTGGCCTCTCCCAAGCTAAAAGGATTGCTGAACTTGACATGGTTTCAGCATGCACGTTGTAGGGAGCACTGGGTCTGTCTTCTGACATTACTACGGTCAGTCTGGCTCTAGATAAAATAGATCCTTGGCTGTTCTCAGCCATGCACTGATAAATACCATCATCTTCAGGAATAATCTGGTTAATTACCAATTTACTGAGGAAAGAAAAAAATATTTTTATGAAAAATTCTAAGAATGATGTAAAAATAAAGTTAAACTATTGCTAAGTTCACTCTCATTTTAAGTGACAAAAGTTACAAAGAACAAAAAACTGTGTAATCAACCCCACTGAAAAATCTGAGTTGCTTAAAATTACTCTTATTTTCTGAGTTTAAGTAATAGTGATATCCAAACCCTGTTTGCTTTAGGTGAAAGACTAATCTCTTTTTTAAAATTTGGCTTTTAGGGGTGCCTGGGTGGCTCAGTCGTTAAGCGTCTGCCTTCGGCTCAGGTCATGATCCCAGGGTCCTGGGATCAAGCCCCGCATTGGGCTCCCTGCTCCACCAGAAGCCTGCTTCTCCCTCTCCCACTCCCCCTGCTTGTGTTCCCTCTCTCACTGTGTCTCTCTCTGTCAAATAAATAAAACCTTAAAAAAAAATTTGGCTTTTATAAAAAAGTATATTACTCTGTAATAGCATCTAACTTATATAATATTGCAATGTTACATAAATTCAGATCAACAAAAAATTTTAAAGTTTTATTAAACATATGGCAATGTTATAAGAAGATTCATATTTATACTAATAAAAATGAGTTCTAAAAATCATTAAGTTTGAAAAATTCCTTGAGATTTGAATATTTCCTTCTAATTTTATCTTTTTAATGGAAGAAGGAACTGAGACCCCAAAGGGTTAATATGCTTGCTAATAACTTAGCTATTGGCTCATCAGGACTAGAACCCAGGTCTAGGGGACTGTCCAACATTTATTTCATTATAATCTACCAATTCCATGATCCACATATAAAATACAAAAGGATCTATGGCGTGCTGATGTTAGAATCTTAATTTCTTTTTCTTTTCATATTTTATTTTGTTATGTTAATCACCATACATTACATCATTGGTTTTTGATGGAGTGTTCCATGATTCATTGTTTGTGCATAACACCCAGTGCTCCATTCAATACGTGCCCTCTTTACTACCCATCACCAGGCTAACCCACCCTCCCCCCCCCCTCCCCTCTAGAACCCTCAGTTTGTTTCTCAGAGTCCATAGTCTCTCATGGTTTGTCTCCCCCTCTCATTTCCCCCCTCTTCAGAATCTAAATTTCTTATTTTAGTTTAAAATACTAAGATAATTTAGATATTTGATATTACAACCAGTTCACATAGCAATTACTAAAGCCACTATATCTTCTCTAAAATAGTAGCAAAGTGACATAGCCCACCTGTTGTACATTTTAATTCTCCCATTTGAATGTATCTTCCTCCCATTTTTCAACCATGACATTTTGGGTGAGGGGATTCCTTCTGCTTGACACACAAATCGAGCAGTACCAGCTCGAGGCCTTGTTAAACTTTCTGGCCATTCAACAAATGAAGGAGGAGCTATTTTTAAGAAAAAAGAACAGAGAAAAATGTCCATGTCTCCAACAGGAATGATACAAAGAGTCAAGGAAGAGTTCGGCAAATGACTCAAGTCCCATCCTTGAAAATATTTAACATTCTGAGCCTCTTATCTACACTCTACATATAACTATCCAGATGCCTTTTCTCAGCATTGTTCATTTAGATGTCCACTCCCTCGAGGTTTTCCCTATTGAGACCCTCTGTGTCAACACACTAGAAATAGGTACACTATAATCCTACTTAACTAAGCCCAATAATATATAGCCACTTGTGAACGCATACAATCAACAGATTAAAGTTTTAGATTGGTAAATGGATATGTGGATTTGTGGGTAGGTAACAAAGACATAAAAGAGATGCTTAAATAAGAAGGAACATAATGGTATGCAGGCAAACAGGAGGGTGACTTAAGCATTATAGTTAGTTACATTTTAACCCAGAGCTTTAACTTTCTTCTAAAATTCATTGTTGGATCACAGGATTTCATATCAACCTTCATATCAACGCTACAAAGTTCAAGAAAGGAGGAAGTAAGCAATGAATGAGATAATACAATAAATGTTAAAATACGAGATTCTCCTGAATGCAGGATGAAATAAAACATACCTAAGACAGTTAAGGTTGCCATGGCAACTGTAAAGTTGCGCGTGCCTGGGGTTGTCGCCCGACAAACATACACTCCAGCGTGTTGCAGCTTGACATCAGATATCATGAGATTACCATTTCCCAGTACCCGAGTGTTAAAGACATCAATGGACTTGTGATCTATTTCCAAGAGAAGACTTCGGTTAAAATAATGTAACATAAGATCTAAAATTATGTCAAAAGATCACCATCTAATCATATCATAAAAAGTATAAAATCTGCTATACAAAAACCTTTTCTCTACACACTGAAATGCCAAAAAGTTAGAAGCCACTTCAATGACAAACATGTGTTCTGCATATAAAATAAACATTCTGTCAGTTTCATTAAAATCAACAAAGTTTAAAGACTTTTTTCCCTGAGAAAACTTACCAAGGCGGCTCCAAGAAATGATTGGTTTGGGATTTCCCGTGGCCACGCATTCTAAAACAACTGTCTGATGAAGAGATGTTGTTATGTTCTGTGGGCCTGCTATAATGGTTGGTGTGTAGAAGGAATTAGACTCTTCAGCTTTGAGGAGGAAAAGGCACAATATGAAAATAAATTACAAATAAGATATAATAAGTGAGACAAGTTAAAATATCCTTGTTATTCCCTTAAAAAATAACTTTATTGAGATATAACTCACATCATACGCAATTCACAATTTTAAGTACTTCAATGATTTTTAGTATTTTCAGAGTTGTGCAACTATTACCACAATCAACTTTAGAACCCCAAAAAGAAACACCACACCCATTAGCAATCTCCTCTCTCCACAGCCTGGCAACCACTAATCTTTCTGTCTCTCTGGATTTGCCTTTTCTAGACATTCCTTAACAAAGGAACCATATATTATATGGTCTTTTGGGAACTGGCTTCTTTTCACTTAGCATAATGTTTTCAAGATTCATCTGTGTTGCAATGTGTACCAGTATTTCATTTCTTTTTATTGAGTAATAACATAATAGAATTTAATTATATCAATAGAACACATTTTATTTATCCATTCTTCAGCTGATGGACATTTAGGTTGTTTCCGTATCATTCCCTTTTAATTGAGGCTCAAACATTCATTTAATCCTTTCGCCAACCTTGTTAAGAATTTATGTGACAGTGGGGAGAAGAGAAAAGCGTGGGAGTGATTTTGTCTTTAATCTTTCATATCAGGAAGCTAAAAGATACTACCTGATATTGAACCATAGTGTTAAAAATGTAATTTCAGTTTTTCAATGTTTTCCAAAGAGATTTTTTAACCTTCAAGGATATTTTAGGAATCTTGTGAAAAATAAACATTCAGATGAAGTTCACCAATGTCTTTAGTCCAGATTTTTTTCCACTATATTCAAGTAAATTTAAATTATTTAAAAATAAAAACTAGTATCTATGTGTAATTCCATTTTAGTAAGATACATATTTCTTTCTTCATATTCATCTCTTTAGCTAGTTTCCCTTCTAAGTATATTTATGTGTGGCAAAATATAGAAAATTATGTTCGCTTAATGTTAACAATGATAATTTCTGGATATTGGAATTGGGGATATTTTTAAACTTCTATCTGTACTTTTTTACATTGTTTAATGTAAAAATTTTTATTTTTATACTTTTATAGACATCACTCTTTATGATAAGCATGTATCATTTTTACAAATGCAAATTATAATTTTTCTTAAAACAACAAACAAAAAAATACAAACTGGAAACAAATATATCTTTACTGACAATGGACAATTTTGGTGGAAATGGATAATCGTTTTTCTCATTTCGCATTTTATATTTTAAAAACAAAAGTGAAATATTTACAAAACAAATATTCATTCTTTCTTAAAGATGTTGTTCTTAAAGATGTTAACATAAAATAAGCTGGCCTGTGAAAGAAGAGGAACCTAACAGGGATAAAAATGACCATTTCCAACTCGATTACAATAACTTACATGAAATTAAAGTACTATTTTATAGCATACTATTATAGCCACAGAAGAAAAATTAATAGCTGGGACAGCACCTGGAATCACTGTTAGAGAGGCTTCCATACTTTTACGTCTGTGGGCTACAGTAGCAGCAACACAACGATAATTCCCAGCATCCCTTTGGCCAACATCATAGATCTGCAATACTCCTGTTGGTAGGGCAGTTATCCTGTTACAGGAAGAAAGATGATTGAATTCTTTGTAGTAGATTTTATATTTTATTTTAACATGTATTCTATGATTAATATATTCAACCTTTTAAAAGTGCCAGATGCAATACTTTAAAGACCATTTAAAACAATTAGCTTGATTCAATTGTTTTTATTTGGGTCACTACAGGTCTCTATAACATACATAACTATGCAGTATGTGGTTTGTGAAATCTACCAGCCTAATTTTATACAGAGTTACATTTGACATTATAGCTTACATAACTGGTGATCCAGGGCTTAGTATGATTTTTTTCAAATCCTGATTTCTTGCCTATTAATACAGACATATTCTCCAAGATACACCTGAATCTAAGTTTTTGGGTTTTTTTTTAACACTTTCTTGAGTAACTTCTTCCATCATAGTATCCTGAGATTTTAGTAAATGATTTTTACCTACTTTGGAATACTGCTACTCATGAGGACAGGAATTAAAGTTTATGAAGGCGCTACTAAGTTCTTGATCCTTAAACCTCAACCACCTGCAGAGCACTGGGGGTGGGGTGGGGGTGAGCAGGTGAGCGGGGGGGTGTGTGTGTGTGTGTGTAGCCGAGAGGAGACTGGAAGTGGGAGGTGGAGACAGAATAGGCAGGTACCAGGGCATATTGGAGACCCCTATAGTAGTATTGCTATTGCCAGCACTGAAGGTCTAATTTGGTTTCCTAAATCCTTGGGCTACAAAGCAGGTGCTCAGGTGGTCCTATGGTTGGAAAAGATGTTTAAGGAAAGCAACAAAGCAGTAAGAAAGGTTATTTGAATTATGATCTAAACCAAAAATCAGAAATTATTCCCCATGTGCCAGAGACTGATGATCTAATTCTTTGCCTAAGTTTGAAATGTCTTTAAGAGGTTGGTAATTGCTACTGTAAATGAAAATAAGCTCCATCACGGTCTTTCCCCCATAAGTCCCATGACACCTTCGTTACTCCTGCATCGTCTCCAAAGACAAAAGCTGCATTTACCTGTCCATAGTTACAGGTAGAGTTGTCCGATTTAATTCCCATGTTATGACTGCAGGAGGGTTTGAGGAAATCTTGCATGCAAATCTAGCAACTCCACCTTCTTGCACCTCAGTAGAAATTGGCTGAACTTCAAATGCAGAAATAGCTGTAAGATAAAAGTTTGACAAATTTAGAATAAGTACAGATACTATTATACTGTACTGTACTTGGAAATAACATTATGCAAGATATTATTTATCAGACTTGAACTCCCGCCCAGACATAAGAGCAACCCAACTTAACTAGCACAAAGATAATTTCAGCAGTAGTTTTGGAAAAACCACTGACAGTTGCCTAGCTCAGGGAATCTGGTCTCCCCCAGGATGAAATTCTAAATAAGTTCTCAAGAAACTTACAACTTATTTGGAGAAAAAAAATTAACACAACTGAAACAAAAATAAACAATTAATAATGATATGTAATCACATACCATTTTTGTGTGGTACAAACTTCAAATACTACTACATTTCAGAGAAGAGGGAAATCAAGAAAGACAGATTAGACAAGTAAAAACCATTTACAGGGACTGGTTTTGAATTAAGTTTTGAAGACTCGGTTGGGTTTAGATGGAAGGGGGAAAAGAAGACATTCCAGGCGAAAGGAAGCAAGCACAGAAGAAAGGTGTAGCCTCTGTTCACAGAATTTTAAGGAAACAGCCAAGACTATTGTAGAATATTTCAGATGAAGGGATCATGGAAAAGTGGAAGGAGAGTAGAGATAAAGCAGATTTGTACCATGGCACAAATGAAGACATCATTGAAAATTTTTGAGCAAAGGACAATAGTAGTCCTGGATAATAGCCGTATTTGGGAGAAATCAATCAGGCACGGATACACAGGATAGAGTGAGAAAAGGAGAGCCTCAAGTCAAAAGACCAACAGGCTGTTTAAGTAGGAATGACAGAACTGGGTGGTGGCAGTAAGAATGGTAAGATTCTACAGAGAGCTCAATGGAAACAAAGACTTGGTTCTCACTGGACACAAACATGTCACTCTGTTTGGAATCAAATGAGGTTGGTGTTGATGGAGCTGAATGAGAAAGGAGAGAAAGAAGACAAATGGTGTGTGTGTCCCTGATGAATTAAAGGTAGAGAGACTCAAGAGACTATTTTTAGTCTCATGTATTTCCAAAGTGGAGATACATCTCGAAGTGTTGATATTTCTAGAGATAATTCTTCTTTCTCATTCTAGGCAGGCCTCCAGGAGCTAGTCATCGGTGTCCATGCTTTTACATTTTGATAGAGTCCAGACTCCAGGTAACACTGTGGTTTTCCTTCCCTCTACTGTTTTTCAGGATATAAAGAAATGGCCCCAATGATGGTCTTACTCCCCCTCTGCAGACTCCAGTTTAATATACATATACATATATATATATGCCTTTACAGTTTATCAACAAAGTGAGAAGTCATGAAGAAAAGCAGAGGGAATAAGGTCTACATGACTTACACTTCATTAGAGTAGGAAGGGTAAAAGGTGAGAGAAGACTATAAATTCTGCCTTAGAATTAGCATCATCAATCTGTAAATGGATCACAAGACTTTAGAGGTACAGGACAAAGCCAGGGAATAATGGTGAAAATACTCAGGAGCATCCACTTCCAAAAAGCAGATGGGGGTAGTGTAATATCTTATGTGTGTATGTAACAAAAAAATTCTGCTTCCTCAAGAACAGTGGTTCTCAAACCGCTGTTGTCAGTGGATAACAAAACCAAACCATTTTCATGATCACCATCATCTGCCTTTTTCACTCTTATTTCTCGAGTGTACAGTGGGATGGATGATATTGCAACAGACTTAATGCAGAGGGAGATATGCCTGGTTTATGAAGCATTAATTTCTCTTATTGATCCCATATTTACCTTGTTCATGTATGAGGGGGTGAGTTTTAGTTCTGGTTGTCATTCATAATCCAGACTATATTCAATTTACAGACTTCAAAGGAGGAAATTTATCTTATTCTCCAGTCTTTACCACTCTAGACCAAAATATGTAATATAGTTAAATTTTTCTTCATAAAACAGTTGTTCCTTCAGCCCTATCTGACTTCTTTACCCCAAAACATATCAAGCACCTGATTCAGTATGCTTTACCTCCTATTTCTCTCCCATATCTGACTTCTCTCCATCCCTAATAGTCCTCTCTTCAATCCAGGCCCCTATCATCTCCTGCCTGAAGTCTTGTAGGCACCTATTAGGTGATATCTCTCCTACCAGCAAAGTTACTCCAGAAAGTTAGTCAAAAAATATAAATTTGATTGTGTGGCTGATGAATTAATTAGTCCCTGCAAAACTCTCGTCTCAATCACTTATAGTTATGTTCCATGAGCACTGAACTACTTACAATTCTCTGAATATACCATGATATTTCGTACCCCTAAGTATTATATGAGCATATCCTTCTCTCTCAAATATCCTAGGTCCCTCTGTCCATCTGGTGAAATCCTGTCATTGTTTAGCACCTACTCTGCTTATCCCTTCCTTTGGGAAGTTGTTCCTGATCTTTTTCTCTGCAACCTCTGTACACTACAAACCTCCACTGCTACTTTTATCCCACAGTATTATAACCACTTCACATTTTTCTCCCCTTCCAAACTATGAGCTCCCTGGGGGCTAGTAATGGGTTGTATTTTTTGCAAGACCCCTTAAGACAGTGAATGGCACAGACTTGGCACTAAAATACTTGTTGAACTGAACTTACATATTTTTTTCTCTAATTATATTAGGTCTTTCAACATAGTAACTAGAAATGTAAGGAGTTTCCCAGGTACAAATACAAATACTTCTCATCTTGAAAAGAGACTAATGCTTTTTATTATTTTGTTTGTTGTAATTCCAAATGGTCCCCAATATTTTAGTGGCATTATCTTTAGAGACAAAAATTGGATCCCCCACTATTAAAGGATTTTTATGAAGATTAAAAAAAGTGAGGGATTTTTATGACTTTTTTAATAAATGTTGTGATTATTGAGAATAAAGATAATTACTTTTGCCTTGAGTAATTTTCCTCCAATCACTTAGACATCTGAGCATTGTTTTCTACCCTAAATCTCATCTAAACAAACAATATGATCTCTCTGAACCTTTTTTTTTGAGCAGCTTCCTGCTTTCTGCCCCAGATGCATAAGTCTATGAAACCCCTAAGATTTTTATGAAAACTGAACTTTGCACTTCAGGTCAAATGTGCTAGGGCTTTGGAGTCAAAAAATTCCAAGAAATAAAAGGTAAATGAGTGCATCTTCTGACTGAGTAAGGGTATCTCTTTTGGGGAAAGGGGAAAGAAACTGCTTTTGAGATATAATCATGTAACATGTAATTTACATACCATACAATTCACTCATTTAAAGAGTACAATTCAATGGTCTTTTAGTATATTCAGAGTCTGCAACCATCCTCATGATCTATTTTAGAATATTTTCATCATTCCAAAAAGAAACCCCATATCCTCTAGTTATCACTCTCTAATCTGCCCGTCCCCTCCCCAACTCCAGCCCTAGGCAATCACTAATCTAGTTTCTTTCCTCCCTCTACAGCTTTGTTGGGTTGAGAATGACATAGAACATTGTGTACAATGTGATTATTTGATACATGCATATATTGGGAAATGATTACCACAATAAGGTTACTTAGTTAACACATCCATCAAATAAGGGTATTTTTTTTTTTAAGATTTTATTCATTTATCTGACAGAGAGAGAGAGAGCGTGTACAAGCAGGGGGAGCAGCAGGAGGAGGGAGAGGGAGAAGCAGGCTCCCTGCTGAGCAGGGAGCCCGATGTGGGGCTTGAACCCAGGACCTCGGGGATCATGACCTGAGCCAAAGGCAGACACTTAACAGACTGAGCCACCCAGGCACCCCAAGTAAAGGTATTTCTTGACCTCACTCTGGTTCTCAGCAAGGTCTCAAGCAAGTATAAAGATTTTTTTAATCCTCCAAACACCTTTATATTTAACATTTCTCACTTTCTGGTCCCTTTTGAAAATTCAACCTGCTGGCAAAATGATTTTTCCTAAAGAAGACCCCTTGGGACTCTCATCAGTACCTCTGAGACTAAAGAAAAAGAGGCATGCTCATGATTCAACAATAAAAATAAGTTACCATCCTTCTGTCCATAACTACTTCATCTGGGTACCAATCCCATTCTCTTCCCTCACCTCTGGGAACCCGATGTATCTGCCTTTTGTCTGTCTTTCTGTCTCTCTCTCCTGCATATTCAAATTCTTTTCCTGGATCCTTCTCTCAGCCTATAAAAGTGATTAAGCTTCTCCAAACTGCAAAACACAAAAAGAACAAAACTCCAGACCTCTCTTTATGGCATGTATCCCTCCAGCAGCTATCTACCCTCTCTCTTCCCCATGGCATTACAACTTTTCTAAAGAGTAGTTGATTCTAGTTGCCTCCCCTTCTTCCCCTCTGACTTTATACCTCAAACATCTCATGTGCCTTCTTCCCCTATTATTTTATTCAGTGTCAGTGACATTGCATACTCTTATTTCTTACATACTTTCTTATCTATTTCTCTGATTCCTCCTTCCAGTCTCCCTTTAAAGGGCGCTCCTTCCTCCTAAGCCCTTCCTTCCAGAGATTCTCTGTTCTTTTCTCTCTTCAGATTCTCTTTGGGTGATCTCATCCACATTCAGTTTTCAGTGACATCCATCTCTTGCTGCTGATTCCCCAAAATACATCTCCAGCTTAGATCACCAATCCTAGAGCTTCATACTCATGGCTCCAATTGTTACTGGACATCTTCACCTGGAATTCATAAAAGGTACTTCCAACTCATCAAGTCCAAAATGAAATCATCTTATTTCCTCCAAGCCTGTGTCTCTACTTGTCACAGGACTATCCAGACACTCACCTGAGCTAGACACTATTAACTCCTTCTTCTACACTCTCATTCACTTGTTCCCACTGATCTTACTTAACTCCTTAACATATGTCGGATCCACTCCTGTGTTCCTCTCCCAATGTCTCTCACTGGAACCACTACAGAAGTCCCTTATCTGATCTTCTTACTCCCATTTTCCTCTTCCCTGCTTCAAAAACATCCTCTAAATGTACACAAGTATTTGATATGGGTGCACTGGGCTCACAAGCAGCTTCCATCTATTA